GGAAAGTCCTTAAGGGAAAGAAGCTAAAAAGTGTGTTTTCCCTTCATATATTATTGCCAGACCAAGAATAGCTTTGTTGTAGCAGATTAAAGAATAGTAATAAAGCCCTGCATTTTACCTTCAATAGTGGACAGCTTCATGCCCCCAAGAAACTCATGTGCCTTGCGTGAGGCCGATCGCTCATTCCTGATCAAACAGGCTTATTATAGCTGTGAATATGATCCATTAAGACATTAAACCTAATAACCATTGCTAAGGATTTATCTCGATTCCTGTTTTAATGCAAGATTATGCCATTCACAGCTCCTAGACACGCATCAGTTTGCGAGACAAAATCCAGACCCTTCTAAGATTCTGGTGCAATTTGCCAAACAACTTCACTCCCATCCAAAGTTGTAAAAATATGTACCTTAGAAAACAGGGTCAGTGGAGAAATGAGAATACAATATATCTGTTTGAAACAGGAGCTACGATAGGAGCTTTTACGTGGGGTTGCCTTTGATGACCGGAAGCTTCAAGTAATCCAACAAGCAGCAGCCAGGTTTCTAAGCGACATAGAGGAAGCATACAACCCCCCTGTTGAATCAGCTCTGCTGGTTGCTGGTTTGCTACCAAGCAAAATTCAGAGTGCTGGCTTTAGCTTTTAAATCCCTAAAGGGTTCCAGTACAGCTTACCTATCTGAACACATCTCCCTTTATGAGTCAGTTAGAACATTAAGGAGGTCCTGCTCTCAGTCCCGCTTCCCTCACAGGTACAACTGGTGGGGATGAGAGACAGGTTCTTCTCGGTGGTGGTTCCTCGACTGTGAAACTCCATCCCCAGTGAGATTAGATCAGCCTCCTCCCTCCTACCATTTAGGAAACAACTTAAAGTGTGGCTTTTCAAGCAAGCATTCAATGAGTGAGATCAAGTAGTCAAGATAACTTTGGGATTGGTGCAATGTTTAGCCTATAAATCCCTAAATGGTTTAGGCTCAGCTTATCTGTCCTAACAGATCTCTCCCTATGAATCATCTTGGAGCTTAAGATCAAATGAGGAGGCCCTCCTCTCGGTCCCGTCTCCCTTGCAGGCATGATTGGTGGAGATGAGAGACAAGGCCTTCTCAGTAGTGGCCCCTCGGCTGTGGAACTCCCTCCTCAGGGATATTAGATCAACCCCCTCCCTCCTGACCTTCCACAAGAGAGTGAAACTATGTCTTTGTGACCAAGACTTTAGAGAACTCGTGAAATAGATAAACTTAGAATAATGTGCAATGACTATTGGAACGGCCTGAATTACGCTCATGGATTATATTTTTAACTCTGAATGTATTGTTTTAAAATGTTTTAATTATTAATAAAGTACTTTTTAATTCTATTTTAATATTTATTTAAGTGTACATTGTGTTTTAAGGCATCAAATTGTTGCCTGTATGTAAAGCCACCTTGAGTCCCTTCTGGGGTGAGAAAGGAGGGGTAGAAATGTCGTAAATAAATAATAAATGTTGAATATTTTATGTTTTTTTATGTCTGTTGTTTTATGTTTTATAGTTTATTTGTTTTAATATATCACTGTATGCTTTTTAAAGTAATGTGATATATTTATAATTTGTAAGGCGTTGAATTTTGCCATTTACTTTGTTGTGAACCGCTTTGAGTTCCCCCAATGGATAAGAAAAATGACATATAAATTAAACAAACAAATAAATATATAAATTTTAAGAAATGAATATGGAAATATGAATAAAGTTTCAACCAGAAAAACAGCCAACATAGACCTGGGTTGATACAAATTAATGTTGAGGAAATGGGAACCTTGTATTGTCGAAGGCTTTCATGGCCGGAATCACTGGGTTGTTGTCGGTTTTTCCGGGCTATATGGCCATGTTCTGGAGGCAATTTTTCTCCTGACGTTTTGCCTGCATCTATGGCAAGCATCCTCAGAGGTAGTGAGGCAATGGGAACCTTGTTAAGGTTTGACAGATCTGTTTCTCTGTAATCTTGAATATTTCTGATCTTGAAAGTGGAGATGAAGTTAGGTAATACTCAGCCCTCCACATTTGTCGTGGTTAGGGGCATGGGAAATTGAAAATATCTGCAAATGTAATTTTACTCTTGAGAGAACACCTTTTTAGGAATTTCTGGTTAGTTTCTTCTAGAAGGTGATATATAATCTCACTGGGGGACCTAGAAATTCTTAGTGTGGTGTTCTCTCTAGAAATCTCTACTTCATCTAGTATGACTCTATAGTCACGCTCTATAGAAAACCTAAAATTTCCTATAGATAACAGTTTAATCAATTTTGTGACCAATCAAATCCACAAAAGTCAAATCCAGAAATGTGTTGGGCCAACTGTGGTGATCTTTGGAATGAAGGCTGGATTGATTTATGGCAAAACCCTAATATGGCATGGCCAGACATGCAAAATACTCATTGTTCTATTCCTGGCACTTCCAGTCAAATGACAATAAGAAAAACCCTTCTTTGCCTCAGTCCTTGGAAAAATTGCTGTCTTTCAGACTAGATAACACCAGTGCCCCAATGGGCAAACCAAGTGTCAGCTTCATATGTTAATTGTAATATAGTATACATTTGAGAAAAGGTAAATGGGAGGAAATAAATCAATACAGAGCCCCTTTCTTTCCTCAGCTGCTATTCTCTGTTTTTAATTAGGCTCTCCATCCTCCTTACCTTTTCTGATGATTAGCTTGAAAAGAAAAAAAGCTTTCAAAATGAACAGCAAAAACATACCAAGGTGCTGATCTTTGCTCTTTTTTAATGAAAAGCATTATTTGCAAGTGGGTCCATCCATCTTTTTTCAATGAGGGATCATAGTATCGTGATAGAATAGCTAACAGTAGCTTGGATGTTGTCTGCAACAAAAACCTGTGGTTCATCCTCACTTTGCTGTAGATTAAATACATTATTTTCAACCCCACTATCTCCCTTTAGACTGCCTTTGGATAATCTCGCGGGTTGAGTTGGGTTTTTATAACTACTTGTATTTGGGTTTTGCCTAGATTTTAAAATTTGTTGAACTTTGAAGCATATAACCCCTTGGGTTTGACATGGATGTGTGGGACTGGGTCCTCATGTTATGATTTGGTCATCGGCCATAATAAAGTTTACTTACTCATTTTCAACTCCTGTTTGATCAAACTATCTCGTTTGGAATAAACACAGGACAAAAGTAACCCAGACCTTTCATCATCAGTTCTAGTAGTAATTTATAGTCATTTCACAGGATAGTTTAAAATAGGACCCTTCCTTTTAGAAGATGGCTGGGGTCTTGTTTACAGTTTTTCTCAGGCCAATCTGGAGAAAAAAGGCTCCAGCTTGGACTTGGAGATCTTCACATGCTCCATGGAGATGGTAGGGAGAATCTGCATGGTCCAGCAGAGCAAAAGTGATTGGACCATCGCTTTCCCATCCCTGTCAATGTTGCCAAATGTCTGCAGAGCTTCAGCAGAGCTCCTGGCTATTAGGGGCGTCTCATGCTGATATCCATCCTCCTGATCATGTGAGCACCTCTCATGATGTCAACATGGGATGCCTGCAAAGCTTTCCTGAATCTCTGACTGCAGTAACGATGCCAGTATGGGCTTAGTCTTTCCCATTTTCCCTATACTGACAAGCACAGGAAGAGATGGTGGCAAAGGCCCTTGTGGGCAGTGGACCACTTTACCATGGAGCCAGTTTGTTTTCCAGACTGCTTCAAGTGAAGGGTTGTTCTGGAGTTTAACCTAAATTCTTAGCTGAATCAATTCAACCAAGTTAATCCTTTGTTGAGGAAGGCCCTGGACATCATGTAGACATCAGCACTTGGGTTTTTGGCTAGCGTAGGACAAGCCCTATAGGTGCTTCTACCCTGTAGAAAACATGCAGTTTGATAACATTTTAATTACCATGGCTCTATGCTATTAAATATAATATATTGTATGAAAATATATCTTATAAACTGCTCTGAGTTCCCTTCGGGGTGAGAAGGGCAGCATATAAATGCCGCAAATAAATAAATAAATAAATAAATAATAGGAGTTGCAGTATTATAAAGATTTTAGCCTTCTCTACCAGAGTGCAGGTCCCTCACAAAACTACATATCCCATGACTCCATAACATTCAGCCATGGGTATTAAAGTGGTGTCAAACTGGATTAATTCCATTTTGTAGATGCACCCTTAGTGTAATGCTTTGCTTGAAATTATACTTTGGAATCATCCTACCAAAGAACTGAACTAGAGTGGCATTTTGTCCTTCCTGTAGCAGGACTCAAGGACGGCACTTCCAAAGTGTTAGTTTTTGTTAGCAGGACAGAGAAATGCTGCAGTATTTTCCGTTGGCAGCAGGGCTTTTATAGATATTTTGTTTTCTTTTATTTTATAGTTATGAGGTCAGCCAAATGGCTCCTGAGAAAATGTGATATCATTCATATGGATGGTCAAGCGAGAATGGCTCATATAGGAAGGCAGCCATCTTGTGCTTAGATGTGTAATTCCTTTGGGTCAAGGCAGGCTTTCATCAAAAACTGTTCTGCTTGCTGTGTTTACATGACTGTGGCAGAGTGGGTGGATAAACACAGCTGGGGCACTGCCTTAAATATTTCCAAGCTAGGGAGAATTGAAAAGAGAAATTATATCACCAAATGGTAGATAAACATAATGTTATGTTTTCAGATGGGAATCCAATCAGATGCAAATAAAGAAAAATCCAAATTTAAATAGTTGGAATTCATTCTTCAGTTGGCACCTTCTCATTATAGATGGAGCATTGACAGAGTATGCCCATGACTATATCCAGTATATTTATGTATTTTGTAAGCTAGGCAGAAAAAATACGTACAGATATATCTACAATAGTATTTCTTTTCAGGGATGCTTCAGTGGACTCATTGTTAAAAGGCTACATAGCAGCTCCTGTTCCCTCATATTTCTTGAAAAGTGAGAGCATTGTATTGATTGCCCTATTGATAAAAGTGTAAGCTCTTTGGGGTAAGCTCTTTGTTTTCCTCTTCTTCTCTAGGCTTGTGGAGGTTCATTCTCCTGATGCCAAACACACTCTGGTTTTACGGAGCAAGGATTCAGCCACCGCCCAGGCCTGGTTTCAGGCAATCCACTCTTGTGTCAGTGAGCTCATTCCCAAGGTCATCTCCGAAGTCAGAGATCAGCTGAGGAAGAATGGAATTGCTGGAGGCCGAGAGATTAGGCATCTAGGGTGGCTGGCCAAAAAGGTAAAGTCCTCTTCTCTTCAACACTCTCTCTTGGTTTTGTCAAAACCGTTTTGTAGAGATAAATTGAGAATCTAACATTTTGTTTCACTTGAGCAGTCTTCATTGTGGACTTCTTCAGATGGGTTTAGTAAAGAGTATCCATGTGCTTTGGAAATGAAGCCCCATGGAGGTCATCACGTGACATAAGGGCACTTCTGGTGGGACTCTGTGGGGCTGTGTATGGAAATGTAGCCCTACCCCTGTCTTCACAAGGTGGGTGTTACCTGACTCCAAAGGAAGAAAAGTGGGGGAAAGACAAGGCATCTGCGCAGTAAGGGTGTGGGAAGGTGGGCCATCCTACAAGACAGGGAAAGACAGGATGGAATGGGGCAAGATGGTTCCCTCTGCTTTCTCCTTTCTCATGGGATGAGGTCCTATGTTTTATTAATTATCAGTTGTTTCTTCATGGAGTCTCAGGAGGTTGTGTGGCACTTATATTGGCCCAATTCATATAGTTTACAATATATGTGATATGTATGTAGAGTTCAGTAAAATGTACCTGATAATCAAATCAAACCCTTTATTTCAGTCATAGACCCTCACAGGAAATAAAAGCCACATTTTCATACAAACTTCTGTACCTGATGATGATATTGTATCATCATTTGCTATTTTAAACTGCCCTACCAGACGAAAGTCTATTTCTTTGAGTGCTCAAATGTTCCTCAAATTGAGCATCAGGTTCAGTTCTCAATCAGGCATGAAATATTGTGTCCGGTGTATGAAGAACAAATCTGGACACTCCCCTCAGCTCTCCCAAAGAAAACACCATACCTGCCATGTGACCTATACATTGATTTAGACTATCCCACACTCATCCAGTCATTCTAAATCTGTCAATTTATTGCTGACGGGGCCATTAACAAATAATTGTATTCATTTAACTATAGCAAATTATACCTTTTTAACTTGTTGAAATCTTATAACCGGTGAAAACAGGATTGGGGTACCCCACAGTCCCACATTAAATTTCTAGTATGCCCTGCAGGCTGTATTTTAACTGAAGACCTTGCAAGTGCCCCAGCTGGTCAAGCCAAATGTGCTGAAAATTCATCCAGTCATACAGTGATGCAGTGTCAAAACAGACTGAAATTTAACGAATTAGCATACATTTATGTTTTACTTAAAAATTAAGATGTAATGAATCGATTTATTTAACAACTTAACATAAATGTGTTAGCACTAACTATGACGTTTCAAATCTACTATTCTGAGATACTGTACTTGGTGTGCAGATGTCACAGGGCATGTGCAAGGCACATCTTACCGCAACACACATTTAGTGTATACAAGGAGAAATATATAAGAGATAGTACAGTAGGTGTGGGCAACTGTGTTGGGGGGGGGGGGGTGGCCAATCATTGACCTTGTACCCAGAGTGGGCATCACTGATATATTGTGGAGGACCTGCAGTGATCACAGGACACTTCCAGTTTTGTTGTTGCTTCATTTGCTGAAGTCTCTCTCCTCCCCACCCTGCCCATTTTGGGGGGGCATTCTGTTTGGTAATATGTTAATTGTTAGTTATGCAACAAACAAGGCTACTATTTGGTTGTATTAAAATTGTGGTTCTGTGGCTTAACGTATTCTGAAATCTGGACTCTGTGGTTTTCTTTCAGCTTCTTGCCATTTTTCTAATGCATGTTTGGGTTGACTCTGGAGTCTTAAAGGTGACATACCTCCGGGTGCAATAAAGATGTTCCATTTGATGAACATTTGCAAATGGGATCAATGCTTGGCATCTTTCTAGAAAATATGATACAATGTTAAATTACAGGACAGCAAATATTTTTCATACTGATTGACAGGGTTCAGGGTCTGCTGTTGGAGATGGTGGTATTATAAATAGTTACGATGATCCCATTGAAACTTAAAGGTATCTCAGCTGTTCTTAATGTCCCAGGTCCTCAGACTCAGCTTTCTTCATGAACAGCTTTGCAAAAGAAAGTCCATCCCTGTGGCTACTGAGCTCTTTGCCCATTTAGGGTTTCAACAGGAATGGAACTTGGATGGTACTCAGAACTGTAAGCTGATGCCAAAGTGTGATGCTTTCATAACACTTGGTAATGCTTAGGGGGGTTGCCCTTTGTCTGGTATGCATCACATGTCTGTCGCTCACCTTCAACTTTACGTGACCTATGCCAGACAGTTCTTCTTGAGATCAATTAAATTAGAGTTGTAAGGAGTAACGAGTATCAGAAATATTTAACTGCAAAGAAACTAGGGAATGTATTTTCCTGTTTGTGTCGTTGTTTCAACCAAGATTTCTGTATCAAACTTGTGGCCTTTTGATTGCTTGTAAGACCACAATTTTGTTATTTCTTGAAAAACAATAATGACTTTTCCAGCTCTCTTATTTTTGTCAATACCAAAGTTGGGGAATTTCTTCTCTAAATGAAATTCTGCCATAGTGGATTGGCAAGATTTATTTCTTTTGAACCTACAATTATTTATTTTCAGTTGTACCATTTGTCAAAATATTGTGGATATGTATACATGAGTTTATGTCTCTGTGTAGCTCTCATTGCAAACTTACAGTGGGGTACTTATGATGTAAGAAAAAGTGAAACACAGAGAGAAGGAACATTTTGGTAAAGCAGGAACAATATTTAACAAGTGTCCATTTAATCCATTTTAGTTGCCTGTGAAAACCATACAATTCAGCAGATAATTTTATTTATTTATTTATTTACAGTATTTGTAAATACTGTACTTTTCTCACCCTGAGGGGGACTCAAAGTGGTTTACACATAAGTAATGGCAAAAATTCAATGCCAGTACAAACAATTACAATTATACACTACAATTAAATAAATTAAATTAAAACATACATCCATGAGCAATAAAACAATAATTAAATCAATAAAACAGTCTTGTCCATCGAATCGTCATTCCAGTCATTGTCTTCCTGAAATGCTGCATACATTTACTTCTACTGCCCATAGTTACATGCGCCTTACAGAGAATAACATGTAGCTACTCATGCAATAAATGAAGTGCTCTTATAATTAAAGGTGTAGGAAATCCATCATTCTATTCATGCAGTAGCCATCTGGATGGCTACTGCATCCTGATGGCTATAGTAGCCATAAAGGACAAGAGCACAACAGCACCCTCTTCAGTGTTACTCAGAGGGAAGGTTTGTGGACCAGTGGTGGTTTATGGCAACTTTCCAAGAGAATAGAAGTAACTGTATTCATTGGACACAAGGACTGTGGCAGCCCTTGGCACATTAAATATGTTAACTATGCTGGTCCCTCAAATCAGAGAACTTAAGAGACACTGCACAGTTCCCAGCAACTGATACATATAGGCATGCTTCATTTTGTACTGGAGATGTCTATAGACCAGGGATGGAAATAATGCAGTATTCTAGATGGTCCTGGAGAGCTATAAACTTACATCAGTTGTGACTAATACAGGCAGTGATGAGAAAAGGTGGGAGCTACAATCTAGCAACCTCTGCATGATTCTCACTCTTTCAATAGACAATGTTTCTTCCTTTTTAATTAGTTTCTCTTTGTGTATATACTATGTGTACTGTGCAACTTTAGCTGCCAGTTGTTACCATTCTTCTGCAGAAACTGGTTTTAGCCTACTCTACTATTGCATTTTTGCCACACTGCCTGTGTTTACACTTTTGAATTAATCCCCAAGCATGTACAATTATCTTGTCTGTAAAGGTAATTTTGAAGTGTTGGATTCTGTACAACAGTAGAAACCCACCTGGGTAATAACAAACAGAACACTTGATTTGCACATATAAAGGTACCATGGATGAGGAACAGGTCCCCAGCACTGCTGAAGTAGCTCACCACAGTGTTAACAGGTGCCAAATGATAAGGAAGACCCCTGAGACTTCAGAGTGACAAAGCAGGAACATTGGACTTATTTATTTATTTCATGTCAAAAGCATTGCATAAATAAGTATAAGACTGATCAAATTAGAAGAAGCACAAGTGGCTGAATAATTTTTGACCAAAACTGGGCAACAGCGACCGCATTGTCTGTAGCTTTAAAAAAATTCTCCCTTTGTACATGTGGCAGGGAATGTGGACAACCATACAAGTGCAGAGTTGTTCGTTCTGCTTCACAGTCACACAAGGTGGAGGATTCTTTTAGGTAGTTGCATTTTGCCAGGTTGTCTTTTGATCTGCCCACTCCACTTCCGAGTCTGTTCAGGGACTTCCAAGTTGACCATTCTTGGTTTGCCCCTGGAGGAAGACCATCATGGGAGACCATCCAATTGGGATTTCTTGGTTTAGATCCTCTTGCTCTTGCAAAGGGCACATTAAGAGGAGTTATGGTTCTTATGAAGCTTTTCCTTGATTTCAGTCTACTGGAAGGAGGCTGATAGCCATGCAGTGGGTGTATTTCACAGTATTCAACTTGATTTCTCTCATAGTTAGCAGCAACATGGGGGGGGGGGGGGGGGGTGCAATGCCAGCTAGCTTGTAGATAAGTGGTTCTCAACCTGTGGGTCCCCAGATGTTTTGGCCTTCAACCCCAGAAATCCTAACAGCTGGTAAACTGGCCGGGACTTCTGGGAGTTGTAGGCCAAAAACATCTGGGGACCCCAGGTTGAGAACCACTGTTGTAGAGTCTATCAACATGTGTACATTTGAGACATCCTGTGATTATTCTGCATGTTTCGTTCAGTGCTATGTTCACCTGCTTCATGTGAGCAGATTTATACCAAACAGGGCAGGCATACTCAGTAGTTGAGTAAGACAAGGCCTGGGCTGATGTTCTTATTAATTTTGGGTCTGCTCCCCATGCGCTGTCAGTAAGTTTATGCATGATATTATTGTGTGCAACTACTTTTTGCTTGGTGTTCATGCAGTGTTGGATAAATAGACCAGGCTAGATGAACCAAAGTACAGAGTAACAGGTTAAGGGGACAAGCAAAGAATTATAGGCTAGTTGGATACATAGAAACTCTAAGCTAGATGGCAAACAAA